CATACATACATACAAACACTCGCAACATGCACACACACTCTTACGCACACACACATGCAGAGATAAGCCTGCACTGCAAGCCAGGAAAATGGCAAATAATTGTGGTGTATGATTATGTCTARCGACTGGTAAAAAGTTTGGTGYTATTTAAATTGTGCAATTGAAAAACCTGTAATTAATGTCGATGTTCGCGAAGGGTGTATGCAACGCTTGAGTCATTATAATTCCCCTCTCTTGTGCGGATAAGTGCGTGCAAGTGTGTGCGTGMATGTGTGTGCGGCAAAGAAAAATATATAAACTCGAACGCAGTCAAAAACTACTCTGACTCATTAATTTATGACTAATTATACGCTTAATTAATTTCAATCATTTTTAATTAATAATGCTTTGTGTATATCTGCTTTTCTTGCAGTCGCCACAATCTTCGGTTGCAGCTCTCATTTTTTGAGTGGGGCGAGGAACTCACACGCACACCAATACAAGCACACGCGCCAACAAGCCCACACACTTATATACGCATACACTTAAAAGACTTACGACTGCAATTRTAAACATCGACAGGCACTACGGAGCGAGCGAAGTCAAATGACGGAATACAAGTTAGTTGTTGTTGGTGCCGGTGGTGTTGGCAAATCGGCGYTAACCATACAACTTATTCAAAATCATTTTGTGGATGAATATGATCCCACAATTGAGGACTCATATCGGAAGCAAGTGGTTATTGGTGAGTATAGCATAAATCGATAACATTCGCGATTATCGATTAACGTACATTCAAAATGTAAACAACAATTGAATGTTGCCAGATGGTGAAACCTGCTTGTTGGATATTCTGGACACCGCCGGTCAAGAAGAGTATTCAGCAATGCGTGATCAGTATATGCGCACCGGWGAGGGTTTTCTGCTGGTGTTTGCTGTGAATAGCGCTAAGTCTTTTGAAGATATTGGCACATATCGCGAGCAAATCAAACGAGTCAAGGATGCCGAGGAGGTGCCAATGGTGCTTGTGGGCAATAAATGTGATCTGCCTTCGTGGAATGTGCAAAACGAACAAGCACGAGAGGTAAGTTCATGTCCAATCAAAAAACAACCTCTAGACTCCTGTATTTATTTATGAGTATAAATTTCTTCATTCGTAGGTGGCCAAGCAATATGGCATTCCATATATCGAAACATCAGCCAAGACGCGCATGGGCGTCGATGATGCATTTTACACATTGGTGCGCGAAATACGAAAAGATAAGGACAACAAGGGACGAAAAGGACGCAAAACGAATAAGCCGAACCGTAGATTTAAATGTAAGATGCTCTAAATGGCCTCACATTGGCTTTATTATTTTTTTTTTTTTGTCATTAACGCCTGTCCGGTTTGTGCGTTGTGTGTGTGTCTGTGTGTTTGTTGAGTGTGCTAGATAAATGCAACAGTTTTTATATTTTGTTGTGCTATTTGTCAGTGCGGCATTTAGTTTACGCACAACAACACATCCGCACACCCACACGCACACACTCGCACAAGTACAAGTGCGCGTGTTAGGTTGGTGCAATTGATRGGAGGATGAACAAAATTGTAATTAATTTAAGCAACTAAAGTTTTATYGTATGTCAAATCATTTTATGTTCAACTTGTGTGTGTCGTTTTAAAATGTTTTCTGGCGCCCTTTTAAGATTATTAATAATGCGTGTATGCCGTACATGTATAAAAAACAAAAACTATGAATTAAAAAACTATTGTAACTGCCTTGGTTAAGCTATTGCGATAGCGCATTTTGGAATAACCATTTGTTTTCAGTGAGCACAAAAGTAAACAAAATTTAAAACCATGTTATTTGTGTGTGTACCGTGATTATAACGATATACGATATTTGTATGCAAATGTTTAATTTTTGTTTAACTGAAAGGCCTTGTAACTCGTATCATTTTAAGAATAAGGATATATATAATTATATATCCTTATATATCTAATGTCAACCGCGTTCAATTTCGTTCCCTCCTACAAATACACTCACACACGCACAAACACAATTCCATTAGAAAATTTCCACATGAAAAGAGAAATGAAAATTTAATGAAAAGCTCACTGTTCGTATATATTTTTTGTGGTGCTAAATTCAACAACTAATACCAGCACAATATGTATGAGTTATTTAAAAAAAAAAAAGAAAAAAAAACGAAATCAAAAATATTATTTTTTCTACTTATCTTACTGAACGATCGATCAGCTATCTAGCTTATGCAAAGCACTCTTTTGACTTTAAAATCAGACAAAAAATTGAATCGTATATATATTATTGAATCATATATATGATTCAATTGACTTCATGCACCTTACTCACATATACAATTATTATTTAAATTTACAAATAAAGAGATTTGCATAAGTTAGACTGAACTAGGTATGTAGTAGATAAATGCTGCATTACGCAACAAGCAGCCAATTACATACACATATATAGTTTGCTTTAAGCTTTTTATACATACATAAATTAATATTTAATTTTTTTGTATTCATTTTTGCCATACAAAAAGGAAAGTAATAAATCAATTGTGTGTACTATTTAAATACATCGTAACGGGTTATATAGTTCGAAGGCTGCCAGATTGTTCGAAAACCGATGAACTCCGTCGGTACCATGATAAATGAAACAAATGCCTCAAATTACAATGTAAACAATTATATTTAAATATTTGTCTCAATCACAGTACATAAGCTAGTGTGTGTGTAATTACAATTGATTAATACATATTTTTAAAATTAAAGACAAAATGTACGAACTTTAAATTTCAAGACTTTTAGACTTAAATGCGCTGCGTAACTTGTCAAGATCCTCCATTTCATATTGTGAAAATAACCATTTTGGATTTTCGAATTCATCAAATGGAGCATTTGTGATATAAAGAATTGCATCTGCTACATTAAAATTCTCTATTATTTTTGGTAGCAACAGGCGCGCATCTGTCTGAAAATCTAAGTTCTTGTCATCAATTAACAATGCCAGATTAGCCTTTGTACCGCTAACCAAAGGGACTTCCATACTAAGTGAATAATAGCAATGAAAGTTTAAAGATCATTATATGTATATATAGAACAAAAATATATATGTATACAATCCATACCTGCTCTTCTCACATTTATCAGCCAGTCTGCGCAGAACTAGCTGGCTGAACAACATTGTCCGGAAATTTACAGAAGCAACGTGTAGCCAAAGCAACTCAAATACACTTTGCAATTGCTCCGTTTTTAATGTATTCCATTTGCATATGCAATAAATGTGAGCAACAGATATGACTGACTCCTGTTGATCGGGCTGAAGAGTACCAAGCATCATCAGCTGTTCCTGTAGCATTTCGAATCTTGGCACAAGCTTGGCCACCAGACATTCGTAAAGCAATTTGATATTCATAAGGTTCCTCGGGTTTAACAAGGCTATCCAGAGCTTGTCATTCCAATATGCAGGTATCGTTTCACCAAAGCGTTCAAGATTCAAAATTGCTCGGATAAAACGAATTTGTACTCGGTGGTCTTTTGAATTTTGAGCAATTTCTCTTTGACTTATATTCGAGATGATATCAAGCATTTCGTCAAATAGCTCGATTTGCCCTGTTTTCATTTTACTCACGTACGTTATAAAATTGCTCTGTTTAATATGTTCTACTGTATTCCAGGTCGATAAACTGTTTAGATATGCACTCTCGATGCTTTGAAATTACAAGAAATCAATTGACTGGAATTAGATTTCAAAAATAAAAAATTATCTTACCGTTTTACTCCTGTCGGATGCTCGAAAAAAAGTAAGCCATTGATTAAAGTTGATTGTAATACATAATCGGTGTTATATAGTATGTTTCCCAGATCCCAGCCACTTCTACTATTGGAAATCAATTTTTGAACGAGTATTACCGTTTTACTTGGCTCCTGATATTTGGATATATAACTTAATATTCTTCCAGGGCTGAAAAGATACTTCGTTAATTGAGTATATTACTTTTGTGTAACGCCTGTCTCTCTCTCTATAGGAGATTTGAAGTATGGAAGTATGAAGTATTCTCGAGTGTTTACTTGTCATAATCCATAAATGGAGTTAATATTTGTATTCTCTATATAAGTACCACAACTATTCGAGTACTCACTTTAGTAAACGTCTGTTATATTTATTTAACTGCTCTAAGAAGAAGTCAATCAAGCTCTCATCGGGCAACTTTTGGTCGTGCTTCTCCAAAAGACTCGCCATATGTGACAATGTATCGAATGAGCCGGTCTCCAAAATGTCAATTGGGTTCAAGTTAAATTCACCAAGTTGACTCCAATGATGCACATTCTTGATAAGAAAATGTTGAAGGCTTCGTTGCTTTACAAAAGATATCTCGTCCGCTGATTGGCATTTTAACTTGTCAATTAGGTGTTGCTGTAACTCGTTCAGATCCTTGCACTCCTCGATCAAATCAATATTTACGTCATATCTTGTACGAAAGAATTCCCTAGCTGCTTCCTTTGAACTGAAGGTGGAAAAAAATGCGGGCAGACGCCACCAGCCGTGCAAATTTGTTGGCACAGAATCAAGTTTTCGCAGTAGCTCCTTGAATGAACTCCACAGATTATTATCATTATGCTCATCACGGAAGATCTCGTAAGTGCTCTTAGTGAGATGAACAATTTCTTCTTTCATGTCATCACAACTAACAACAAAAATTAGACGATTCATTAACTATTTACAATTTGATTTTGTTTAGATATTCTGCGATTGTCTGGTCAAAAATAGTGGTATTAAAAACAGCTGACGAGACAAAAATTCGTTCACTTTTGAGAGATCAGCTCCGGCAGCTCATAAATTAAATATTGTAAGCTGGCCATCAATGAAATCAAATGATGAACATGATATAATACAAATATAAATACGTATACAAATAGAATAATGTAAATACGCTATTACATTGAAATACATTTCAATAAGTAGTTTATTTCAACAGCTTGTGGCTGAGTAGTTCATTCCAAAAACTTGTTCAATAGAACAGCGCAAGCAGCACTGTTAAAAGAAAAATCTAAAGACGCGCGCACTAATTTCTGAAATAATGACGTCATGCTGTTAACGCAGCTGACCGCCTTGCAAGTTGCAAAACCTATTATCAGTCAATTGTGATTTTAATTCTCATCCAACTAAATAGCGTGACTCACTCAGTAATGTATTTCACAGCGTGCAGCAGTCAATTCTGATGTCGATGTTCCGGTAATGCTCTCTTCAACTCGACTGTAGCATTTTATTATTATCTGCATAGATTTACCGGTATCTTTTTATTAKYAATTACGAATAAACACGGTGGATCTATTTTGGATTCATAAAATTGATCAAATTGGTTCAAATAAATTTAGTTAAACGGCAACTTTGTGAACATTAAAATATTTAAATAAACTTTTCCTTTTTTACGTTTGTAAAACTTTTAACAATGCACCGATAAATCAATAGTTTATTAATAGTTATGAATACTTAACAATATTCATTTATTGTAGAGTATAATTATTTACTTCGTGGCCCGCGGAAAGCATTACAGTTTCGGGTGTGGTGGGAGCGCCGAGCCTGACCCACTCACGAGGCAACCCGGCATCCTGTCTAGCTGCCTGTATGGCATGTTGCAGGGCAAAGAGTACGCCCACCGCCAGGCATAGAGCTGGCTCTCCCGTAGCCTTTGAGCGCAGAAATCCAACGGGATTGGGACTTTTTTGCAGMAGTTCAATGCGGAAATCAATKGGTATATCCTTGGCACCTGGAGGATGATAGTTCCAGGTACGGTTTGTGAGAAGACGWCCCGTCTGACGATCGTAAACCAGATGCTCGGTGAGATAGTAACCCAAACCCATGACGAAAGCTCCTTCAACTTGACCAACATCAATGTTGGGACTAATACTTTCGCCCGCATCCTCCAGAATGTCTACGCGGCTTATTAAGTGATTGCCAGTCAGTATGTCCACCTCTACCTCGGTTAGACTTAAGCCGTAGATGCTGTAGTCGCTTTGATCACCCTTTTTGAACGATTCGGTTGCAATCAAGCTGATGGACTGGTTGAAGGCTGCCTCTACTACCTGTGGCCAGCTGGCCTGGGATCCCAGTCTACGTTTAACCGGCTCCAGGCGCTGGTTCAGCTTATCGCAGCACTTACGAACGGCAATGCCCACCAACTCGCTTGCCATAGAATTGGCTGTCACAAAGGAGTTAGCTCCTATTATAGTATTAGTGGTCTCGATTCGAATACGCTCAAGGGGAACGCCCAGCACGAGGGCAGCCACCTGGGCCACTTTTGTATTKATGCCTTGGCCAATCTCGATGCCTCCGTGAGATATCACCACAGAGCCATCCRCATGATAAATGGCCACCGTCGCTGGATAAGCCAAGGCAACGTTCACAGTTAGAGGAAAGTCCATCAAAGCTAGCCCCAAGCCCCGCTTCCGCCATCGATTCTGAGCATTGAACAAGTTGATTTGCTCCCGCCGCTCACGGTATGCCGTGGAAGCGAGAAATCGGGGAAGAAGCTGCACCATCTTGGTTCCCGGTCGGAGATTTACTAGTCTCACATCAGCTGGATCCAATTTGCAGGCGAAGGCGATGTTCTCCAGTGCCGTCTCAGTCATGGCAATGGCTGTGAATCGAAACACGGAAAGCAGCTTGTAATGCATTTCCCTCTGCTACAACAAGAGATGGAATAGAGCTAGAGACAATCTTATTAACTTACCCTCTGCTGTCCCTGGTGCCCGACACCACGTTGAGCTAGGTNATTGCCGGCACTGTTTCGCAAGCTCTCATTTTCTATTTTTCGCACATGTGCAGCTAACTTGAGCAGCAGATTATTTTTTATTTGTGGCTGGTTCCTCGGCTCTTGGCAGCTCAGCCAGCGATGCAGTGGCACCCCAGTCCAGGACACCTCGGCCAAGGMCTYCAGGAACTGGTTATTATCATTTTCAGTGACAAACTTCTTCATTTTGGTCTCCTGGATAGGATTGCCCTCGAAGTTGTGCAGTTCCAGATGGTTGGTAGCTGAAAGGAACTCGATCAACAGATTTGCACTGAAGAGCTCAGCAACGGTGAAGTGGTCCATTATGAAATCGATGATGACGTGCCGCAATGAGATATTTGTAGTTTTCAATAGTCGTATATATAAAATACGCATCCAGTTACCATCTAGATTTCTCTCCTTTAAGAGGGATAAGGATACTGATTTTTGGTCAATTTTGATGCATTCCATTACGCTTATATAGGAGTACAAATCTAGATTTTTAGAGCTAGTGCTATCCAGTAGCTTATTTAGAATCAAATAACCGGAATTACGTTCCTCATTAACCTTCGATTCGAGGAGTTTTTGTATACGGCAATAAAGTTTTGAAGCGTCGATGCACTTAGGACCTAGTTCGTGTAAAATATCATCGAACAATTGCCCGAGCACCTGGCTTTCCTCGTTGTTTGAAGTCCTGGAACAAACTTGTGTCAAGAGAAACTTTCCTTCTTCCGGGAATCGACTCGTCCACATTTGTACACACTGCAGAAAGTCGGAAACGAGTTGAGAATTATATGTCTGCACTTGACAATCGTCTTTTGGACTGGGTACTATCACTTCAAACAGTTTTCGAATCAACTTCGATGCCAAATGCAGATTTTCAYTGTTGTTTGTGTTGAGCAAACCGCATMCATATTGTATGAGTCGCTTTAACTGAGGTTCCTTGGTTGAGTCCACAAAATCCAGGAGAATTTCTACCAGCTCCATGGCAGTTAAGTTGCCCACTTCTCCAGTGGTATTCGCTGCTAACATAGCAGAGCATAAACCTATGAATAAACTAACAACAAAAATTAGACGATTCATTAACTATTTACAATTTGATTTTGTTTAGATATTCTGCGATTGTCTGGTCAAAAATAGTGGTATTAAAAACAGCTGACGAGACAAAAATTCGTTCACTTTTGAGAGATCAGCTCCGGCAGCTCATAAATTAAATATTGTAAGCTGGCCATCAATGAAATCAAATGATGAACATGATA